ACATGGAAGGGTGTAAAGAGCATCTGCTGAGGAATCAGATGGAGCTGGGATGAAGTCAGAATTCTGACGATTAGCTGTGCGAAGTCGGGCACGTTAAGCTAAGACTCGATCATATACCCTACCTCATGGGGTGGGGAGAATGAGATAGGATTCGGCAAGAGGCGAGCTTCACGGAGTCCTGGCACACAGAGAGAGAACCCGGGACGGTGAGCGGGGGCATCTGTGCAATGCAGAAGCATCTCCACTTCTCCTGCGGGGCTGTCTCCCTCACCTCTACCCACCAAGTCTCTCACTGCATTTTCTACCGTGACTCTTGACATTCGCCCCAAGTGAGCCTTCTTTTCTGAAGGATTTCGTCTTCTTTACTTTCTCTCCTGAGTCTGACAGTCCCCCTCTGATATCCTCTTTCCATCTGGCTATTTTACCCAATGGAGGAGCACTGCTGGTGTCCCACCCAGCTGCCTCTAAGATGCCCTGAGGGTTGGCTGATGGGGGGGTCACAGCTACCTGGGGATGGAGGAGGTATTTGCTCTCTGTGTTGTTTTGAATGTTTTCTTTAGGAGGAGAAACAGATTTGAATCCAGCAGCTGCTGTTCCTACCGGAACCAGTTTGCATTCTCTTAAAAAAAAAAAAAACACTAGGGGCGCCTGGGTGGCTCAGTCGTTAAGCGTCTGCCTTCAGCTCAGGTCATGACCCCAGGGTCCTGGGATGGAGCCCCTCATCAGGCTCCCTGCTTCTCCCTCTCCCGCTCCCCCTGCTTGTGTTCCCTCTCTCGCTGTGTCTCTCTCTGTCAAATAAATAAAATATTTTTAAAAAAGAGAGAGAGAAACACTGGAATATCTAGAATAAAGGGATGAGAAATGGCCACATGTATTCCAAAGAAAGTGTCACGGGGCTTCAACGGGGAGTGGTCACAGACTATCTCCACCTTGAGAGAGGAAAGGTCAAATCAGAAGAGACCATCTCTGAGGTGACCCCATGTCCCAAAGCTTGTTCCTCTTTTAAAATTAAACCGAATCAGCATGCTGTGATTTTGGCCTCTGATGCCGGAAGTGAACAAGATGCACAAGACACACAAGACGCGGCTGACAGTTCAGGAGTTAGAATTTTTAGTGCAGAAATTGTATTATTTATTTGATGACTTTATGACATCGAGGCAAGACCACAAAAAACCGAAATGAAGACTTTAACCGCATAGCAGTATCTCCCTGCAAGATGAACATCCCCTGTTGGTTTATTTTTCAGTCTTGAGGTCCAACAGTGACAGAAGTGGCTATGGAAGCAAGTCAGGAAGAACAAGGGACACCGTGTGCATCCCTGGCAAACACTGTGTTGGTATTAGAATACTTGTCAGTATCACTATTGATATTGGAATAGTAACGAATTACTACTGAATAGTTAGTAGCAAGTAAACAAATGGATGTTGCAGAAAGAGGACAGGAAGTCTGTGTCACAATAGAACCTGTCCCTAGCGAGTCTCCCAAAATGTATGGAAGACATTTTGAAGGTACAGACATTCTTATTGGTCAGATCGGCTGGCAGTCCACTGATGCCCTCCAAGATTGGTTCCAAGATTGGTTCAGGGCTGAAATGCAGAAGAGTGACTGGCTGGCAGCTTACTGTGACACTGAAGAAAATATCTGAAATCACCTAATTGTCCCACATAGGGCAAAAAATGGAGTACATGCAATGTTATGTTGTAGTATCACCGACAAAAATAAGAAAATGGAATGGACATATTTGGACACCGGTAGACTTGTGTATGGAAGGAAAACAACAGGTGTACAAAATGTTTTCCACAAGAAACCAAGGAACTTACACTGTTTTGACAGTGGTTGGCTCACGTCCCCACAGTCTCAATGTGCCCGTCCCCCGGATGCACTCCCTCCCTGCCTTGCTCTACTGGGCCGCTACTTTAAAGTTTGCCCTTCTCCAAATGTGAGTTTTTAATACAGATCCAAAGCTCTTTCGATTTTGTACTGCTTACCTCAGTACTGCAGTGTTTGCTTTTTTAAAAATTAGTGGGATCTGAACACAGCAGTGGGAGTAGGCTGTGGGGGAGAGCCTAGGAAGATGGCCGCCAGTGGCCTCCCTGGCTGCCCTCACTTAGCTTCTCTTCTCCAAGTAGTCACTAGAATGATACCAGCTACTGCAACAAACAGGCCCAAACAAATGACTCAAACACAATAAAAGTTTACTTCTCACTCAACGTAAAGTCTAAATTGCGTGTTTCCACTTGACAGCCATTTCCTTCCCAAGTGACGTTGCCGCAATGACACTGGCTCCTTCCACCCGGCTCCTTCCACCCAGTGACCCCGCCTGCCCCAGACAGGTGCAAGGGGAGGAGCCTAGAGGGAGTGGGGCACGTCAAAGCCTGGACTTCGGTCATAGGCCACATTCACCCACCAGGGAAACCCAGTCCTTTTCTGTGTCCCAGGAACTGGGGTTGGTGAAGAGCAAGCCAGTAATCACCCTGACGTCAGAGTTAGGGGAAGGGAAGGAGACAAGTAAACAAAAGTGCTGGAAGTTGGATACATGCAGGTTACACAGCCCTTTCCAGCATCCTTTGTGACCCTGGCAGCATCATAGGCCACCTGGGAGCATCATAGGCCACCCGGGAGACTGTTCCTGTTGTCCCAGCTTTATACTCCAGAAAACCGAGGCTCAGAGAGTCCAGTTTAAGGCCAGCATTCAAAACCTAGCTCTCCAGGGCGCCTGGGTGGCTCAGTCATTAAGCATCTGCCTTCCACTCAGGTCATGATCCCAGGGTCCTGGGATCGAGCCCCGCATCGGGCTCCCTGCTCCGCGGAGAGCCTGCTTCTCCTTCTCTCTCTGCCCTCCGCTCTGCCTACTTGTGTTCTCTCTCTCTGTCAAATAAATAAATAAAATCTTTAAAAAAAAAAAAAACAAAAAAACACCCTAGCTCTCCAGCCAGCCTATTCCTCCAGCAGATCTGTTTATGCCAAGGCCAGGCCAGCGTGCCCTGAGACACCCGAGCACCACCTGACCATTCTCACCTCGCCAAATGGGACTGAAATCCACACACAGAGCAGGGCAGCTCCAGAGGGCTCCCGTTTGATGCCAGGAAACTGAAGCCAACTCCCCCACATCCTCATTCTTGTCTCGGTTCCTTTTCCAGGGACCACGCCTCACCCTGCCAGCCAAAACCAGACCCCAGGCAAGAAGGCTCAGGATCCTGGCACCTCCAGTTCTGCCAGCGGCACCACACTGCCTGCCTCCAGGCACCTCTCTGGAGCTCAGCCTCCTGGTGTCAGACCAGATTCTGGCCCAGCTCGGTCTCAGACTCATCCTTGGAGGTCAGCCTCTGGAAAGAGCGCTCTGAGACCTCCCCACTGACCACTGGGACTCACACAAGCACCATCCTGGGGCTGGTCCTTCGGCCCCACCAGTTCACACACCCAAAACGATAATATTCTCTCTTCCTCTCTCTCACACACACGCACATTTTCTCTCCTCTCCTTGAATGTGGGAATTTCGATTACGTAGTCTCAGGCACTTGTTGGCTATCACTAGGGGAGGACAACGGTTTCGTCCACTCTTTAGGGGAGCTGAGTCTCCCCACTCACCATAAACTGCCCTTCCCAGTATCTGGGTTCAGGCAGCTCTGGACCATGTACTCGCCGTGGTTCCCTCAGCTCCAGACTTTGGGATGAGGGAGCAGGGCCATAACCACCACCGTAGACTTTTTTCATGGCCCCCATGTTGGGACGCTGGTTTCTGCTAACCTGACTAACTGGGAGGAGGATGCAGAGCCGCCCACATTCCTAACCATCACCTCTGCCCAAAGGAGATGAGGTGGTTTAAATAAAAGGTACAAGAAGCCCCTGAAAATAAAGGTAGTGAACCAAAGTCCAGCCATGGTGAGTAGGAAGATGATTATCCCCCAGACCCCAGCCTGAGGGGAACTGATGCCATTAAGCAGCAAAAATGCATTGGAGCCTTCTAGCAGCAAGGCAAGGAGCAAGGGTTTCTTCTAATTGAAGACAACTTCGATTGCTCAGGGCAGAAAAATTCTTCTCAAGCACCAGATTTGAAAAAGGAATTTGATAGTCTGCTTATTGTGGAAGGAATGTTGAAGATGGTTTCTCTGAGGAGTCTGGCAAAGGGTGCAACACAGAGCCTTGTTTCTGGTGATTCTATGTTCAGCTAGTGTTAGGGTGCGGTTCTGTGCAGAATGTCTCCTGGGGGGCACAAGCCAGAGAGGCCAGCCCATTGAGAGGGCCTTGGCAACAAGGACAAAGGCTCAGCAGCATGCAAGTCACAGTCCAAGACTCTGACGGTGCAGGTGTCCTGCAGGTGGTTTCTTCCTCTCCTCTGCCCCATGTTCCCAGCCCCGGGGCACAATATAGCTCCAAGATCATCTCAGGCCATGTCTCTGAGTGTTCTAAAGGGGGTCCTCTCTCCCGCCCACGGCCCAACCCTGGCCCCAGGGGTTTTCAGGAGGATCCCCCACACCCTGGAAGTCAGGCAAAGTCCTGGTGGAGAGATAGAGATTTTACAGCGATTTCATAAACTATAAATTAAAGTAATCCACAGGTCCCCTCCCAGTTCCTTCCCCTTCCTGACCCAGCACCAGCACTTCACACATGACCCAGAATGGGATGGGAATGGGGACACGTGACCGGGAGAAACAGATCCGTTCTTTCGCCCCCATCCATCTCCACGGGAGGCTAAAGAAGATGTTGCAGTTGCCTCCTGTCTGTGGATCTCAGGTCTAACCCCCAATTCCAAACTCTTGTGTGTCATACGCCTTCTTCTGGGAGGACACACATTGGCCCTGAGCTTACCTGCCGGACACCCTGACACTGGGATCCAGGCAATCTAACCCAACCAAGCAGGACTGGGAGGCCCAAAAATGGTCACCACATGACACCTGGCCTTCAAGACCACCTGCCTGGGTAATGCCAGCCCCTGGAGAGGGGAATAGGAGGGGCCTGAGTCACCAGCCCCCCAGTGATTACTGTTAGGCTTCCAGTAGCTACCAATATGCCTAAACACCCACCATAAACACAAACACATGATCCTGTTCTGGTGATGCACAATTTTATGTGAGGGAGTGTCTTCGTTGTCTATTTCTGCACAACAGATCATCCCCCCAACTTAACAGCTTAAAGAAATAAACACTGATCATCTCACACAGTTTCTGTGGGTCGACAACTTGGGAGTGGCTTTGCTGGGCAGTTCTGGTTCTGGGTCTGCAGGCACTGGAAGATTTGACTGGGACTGGAAGATCTGTCCTCGGGATGGTTCATACACATGGCTGTTGGCAGGAGCCTTCATTCCTTGCTGGCTATTAACAGGAGACTTTGATTACTCCCCACAAGGACCTCTCCGCAGGGCTGCTGGGGTGTCTTCACAACTCAGCAGCTGGTCTTGCCCAGAGCAAGTCACCTGAGAGAGAAAGAGAGAGCGAGAACAAGGGGGAAGCCACGTGCCTTTTATAACCTAGTCTCAGAAATTACAGCATCAATCCTACAGCTTCCTATTCATTAGAACTCAGTCACTGAGGCCAGCTTACACTCAAGGGAAGGACATTAGGCTCCGTCTCTTGAAGGGGGTTATCAAGGAATTTGTGGACATAATTTAACAGGAGGTTTCCTAATTCAAATAGCTGCAAGACCTCTCTCAAGACAACTCTAAAGATTTTTCAAGTGATGTCGATCAGAGAATTAGTTCATGGTGGCTCCCAGGACCCTCAAGCAACAGGAAACTCCCAGTGAGCTAGGGAGCCAGGCAGAGGAAGAAGACATGCGTAAGAGAGGAAGGGTGTTGCTGTGGTGTGGCTTTACAGTGGGGATGTGTTATTAGAGGGCCGTCCCATCATCTCTTGGATTTGACCTGCCAGCTCATTCCATCTTAACACTTAGCAATTCAGCCTACCCAGGAGCCATCAGGCATAAAGATCACTCTTTCTTCTTTCCTCCCTCCCTCCTTCCTTCTCTCCCTCTTCCTCTTTCTTTCTTTCCTCAGCTCACCTAAGAATGATTTGACAATAAATTTAACAATTTATCCAGAGAACTATAACCAGTGTCTTACTGATATTACCCTAGTTCATACATTTCTTACTGGGGGGAAAATGAAACAGACACTGGATTTTCTCTGTCACAGGCTATGTCTGCAGTCGGATCCTTCATTTCTAATAAGCAACACACCCAGTGTCCATAAAAACTCCACTGTACACAGACTCATGTTAAGTAGGAGTACACCTTTGGTGAAAATCAAGGGAGAGTGGCGCCTGGGTGGCTCAGTCGTTAAGCATCTGTCTTCTGCTCAGGTCATGATCCCAGAGTCCTGGGATCGAGCCCCGCATCGGGCTCCCTGCTCGGTGGGGAGCCTGCTTCTCCCTCTCCCACTCCCCCTGCTTGTGTTCCCTCTCTCGCTGTGTCTCTCTCTGTCAAATAAATAAATCAAATCTTAGAAAAGAAAATCAAGGGAGACACCGGGCTTGCATACTCACAGAAACTGGGGAGGCACCAGCCAGTAAGGGGAGCTGGGCCAGGTACCGACAGGGTCCACTACGCTGGTGACTTTCCATTCAGTAAATGTACCTCAGATATGCTCTGTAAGGCCCCACCCAAAGCTGGGGCACCCAAGTTCCTATAAGGGATCATAAGAAACAAACCCGCATTGCAGAAAGAGACACTTATCTCTTTCGACCTTGGCAGAAAGTGGGGAGAAAATTCTCCCTTGAGAATTTATATCCACAAGGCAACCCTCACACAGAGGATCTAAATTCCCACACCAATTGTGCGTTCCAAAAACCTCAAATGGAAAATTTTAATTTAAAGTACTCTTAGATTAATAGTGCCTCCAAGAAAGAGGGGGAGGAAAGCAAAGCAAAAAAACAACACAATGAATAGAAAGTGTGTAAAATGATAGAAAAAGAATGTATTAGGAATCAAAATAAATACAAATGGACTAAGCTCTGCAGATAGAAGACAGATGATCCGATGAATATTTTATAATCCCATGCACTGTTTCCAAGAGATACCTTTAAAACCTACAGAGAGAGTCAGTAGGGACTTTATTCCTTTTTGTTCCTAGGGAACAAAACTAAAATACAATCTTCAAGGGCAAAATCACCAGGTGTGTGAGTGCTGTCCAAATTTTGTAAGTTAGGCTTGTTTTTGTGTGTTGAGATTGCTAATTAAAGACAGTTCTCTACAGTATTGTGCCAGGTAATTCATTTGACGCAGTATTAGTCTGGAAAATGTGAAGAAAGGCCCAAGATCATGGTTGGGGTTGATGAGGTATATAGAGCATACAGACATCTTTATCACTGAACCATGTCTGCATAATGAGCCATGGAAACCTCAACTCCAAATTCTCTTATGAAGATTGTACGAGTTGACACAAGTAAGACTAAGTGTCAAGCACCATGCTATGTGCTCATAAATAACAGATATGATCACAGGCAGAGGTAAGATCAAACATTCCTTAGGCTCAGATTCTGAACGCAAACAACACTGGCTGAACAAAACGTTTACCCTACAATCCTAATTACTCTGGGCTTCACAAGCTGTACCCAGAAAGACAAGGAACGCTGAGCTCGAGGATCGTCCTTGGATGCTTTTCATTCTTCTGTGTATGGGAATAAATATTGTATATATATGTAACTCATTACCAAAGACTGTTGCAGGGGTTCTTTCCGTGATTGAGAAAAAGGCCAAGGAATTCCTGGAAGTTTTTCAAATTCTATGGGAGGGTTTTCCATTCTCAAAATGAGTGTAGAGTGCCACCATCTTGTGGTTGTTTCACACAATTTCCTTTCTGGAAGCGCTCCCTACTCCCCAGAATTTAAACAGCCCATTCCATTTCCAAAGGTCCCCATTAGTGTTGCCACGAGTAAAAACTCTGGGTTAATTTACACCAAGATGACACAGTGAGCCACAGGCTGGGCAAAATAAAAAAGGACTAGATGCTATAGAGTATGATCCTTTCCAGTGAATGGACAGTTCTATCTACACAGAGAAAGAAAAGGCTACAGGTGCCACATGACTTTCAAGCTTGAACCTGGAACATTCCCTGGGAAACCTGAAACTCCCCATTCAGACCTGCTCCTCATGCAAGGACACTTTCTCAGCTGTAACTTTCTGGGAAATCTGTCTTGCATCTCACCTCCAAACTAGTCTCCAATCAAACTTTGGGTGATGGAAAATAAGAGTGTCATCTAACCTACTCATCCTGGCTTTCATTCAAGGCTTCTTGGGTTCTAGGTATTACATACTAGATCCTCCAGTCTTTTGTCCAACTACTGACCAGGATGAATCTTACATTTCTAGCAGTTCCTTCTTTCGTTGCTGGCTTTTGCTTCCATGCTCGTTCCATCCTAGAGCTCTAGATGACCTACACGTTCTTCTGTGACTACCTAGAATTCCTTCTGGCTGTGAAGTCTTCCCCAGGAACACTGGCCCAAGTGGTCTTCTGGTCAACCTCTCACACTACTGCACCTCCTCGCTTGCTTACGTTCAGTCTCCCGGGATCAGAAGGTCCCTGAAATCAGAGGTCACAGGTTAGTATCATCACTGCGTGTATTACTCTCCCAGATCTCTGCATCGCTGATTCCCTTGCTTAAGATCTCTGTTCAATGTTGCTTCTTCACTGAGGGCCTGTGTAAAACCATGCCACCTTCTGTAACACATCAGCACCTGATGCACTACATATTTACTTGATTTTAACTCCTAGAATGTGAACTCCATGATGGCAGTACTTACTTGGTTTGTTTACTACTGTATCCCCAGCACCTAGCTTTCTAAGTGACATACATACCTACCTGGCATGTTACAGGCACACAAAAACCTTTCTTTTTTGGGACGCTTGGGTGGCTCAGTCGTTAAGCGTCTGCCTTCGGCTCAGGTCATGATCCCAGGGTCCTGGGATCGACTCCCGCATCAGGCTCCTTGCTCAGCAGGGAGCCAGCTTCTCCCTCTGCCTGCAGCTCCCCCTGCTTGTACCTTTGCTCACTCTCTCTGGCTCACTCTCTCTAACAAATAAATAAATAAAATCTAAAAAAAAAAAAGTTTCTTTTTTTTAAAGATTTTATTTATTTATTTATTTATTTATTTATTTATTTGACAGAGAGAGAGAGAGAGAGAGAGCACAAGCAGGGGGAGTGGCAGGCAGAGGGAGGAGAAATAGACTCCCTGTGGAGCAGGAAGCCAGATGTAGGGCTCCATCCCAGGACCTCGGGATCGTGACCTGAGCCAAAGGCAGATGCCCAACCAACTGAGCCACCCAGGAGCCCAAAAACCTTTTTTTTTTTTTTTTAAACAAATGGAAGAATTAACTCATTCTGTAGCTTCTTGAATACCCAGATTCCTCAACCTGACTCCTGAACATCCTGATTTCTCATCTGTAAAGGATGCTGGATCACACAGTGTCCAAGGTGCTCACTAATTCAAAACTTACCTATGTTCTCAGGAGCCCAAAAAGACTAGCTGAGGGGTGCTTTGGTGGCTCAGTGGTTAAGCGTCTGCCTTCGGCTCAGGGCGTGATCCCAGGGTCCTGGGATCCAGCCCCACATCGGGCTCCCTGCTCCGCGGGGAAGCCTGCTTCTCCCTCTCCCACTCCCCCTGCTTGTGCTCCCTCTCTCGCTGTGTCTCTCTGTCAAATAAATAAATAAAATCTTAAAAAAAAAAAAAAAGACTAGCTGAATTTGTTTGTTTAGTTTGGGTTCTGAGAAGATGAGTGGAGCCAGCTTTGGTCTCATCTCTCTGCCCTCTCCTCCCATCACCTGCCACCACTCCATCTTCATGTCTGTGAGGTGTCTGCAGACTAAAAGGAGTGCCCTGGGCCTAATGCACATATAATGATGTCAGCTGTTGGAGCCACACCAGTACCTATAAGATTGAGCTGGAATGATACAATCAGGGTAGTAAGTCTGAGGTCAGGAAGCTCACCAGCTTGGGGCACCCCAAACTTTTTCATCAACAGCATCTTGCCTCCTTATCCAAAAGGTAAGCAATGTCCTTCACAGTGCAAAGTCGGACGCTACCAGGCAATGATGGGTGACCGAGGTTTTTCAAAAAAAAGAGAGAAGGAAATAACACTTAGAAAGCAGCAATGGGAAGCAAGGAGGACATCAGCCTTTATCACCAACCCAAATAACGTGTGGGTCATAACAGCATTCATAGCAGAAACCAGAATACATGTGGAATTGAATTAGAAGGAAAATGTTGCACACCAAAATTTGCAGACTACCACTAAAGCACTACTTTGAGGGCAATGCGTATTTAAGAAGAAAAGTTTAAATTAATGAGCCAAACGAGGTACCCATAATTGGCAAGCTTACATATTTTCCAGGTTCCAGCAACGTTTAATCAGGGTGACAGACGATGAACCGTGCATCTACTACCACCAGCAGTAGAAAAATGGAACGCATCACTGTTTTACCGTGTAAAACTAAACTGCTAGAGGTGACCTGTCTACACAGGTGAGTTAGTGGCTGAAATGGTAGAATTAAGTTATGGCAGCAGGATGTATAAAAAAAATGCAGTTTTGGTAGATTCTATGGGAGGCGATGGGAGAAGTGGGACTCACCTGAGAACAGGTGCAAGGAAATGTCGTCATGCTATTTATCATAAAGGGACAAAAGACGAAGACGAAACACCACTAACATTTGTTGCGTCCCTACTATCTGCCCAGTTCCACCCCTGTGTCATACCTGGCCCCGAGGAGATGTTCAATAAAATGTTTGTTTAAGGGATAAGTGAATCCTCAGTGTTCATTCCGCAGAAGACATGAAAGCTGAGGAAGGTGGGTGATTCACTTAGGTCACATTGTAAGTAGCAGAACTGAGGTCTGAATCCTGGTTGACAGACTGATTCATATTTATTGCTGCTTAACAAATCATTCCCAAAATTTAGTGGCTTAAAACCACAATATATTATTTCTCACAATTCTGTGCGTAGGTGGGGCTCAGCTAGGTGGTTCTGCTACTGGTCCTGTTTGGGGTTGTTCATGTGGCTGCAGTCAGATGGTGGCAGGGGCTGGAACACACAAAATGGCTTTACCTACATGTCTCCTTTCTTGACAGGGACAGCTGCAAGGCTGGGCTCAGCTGAGCTGCTGGGAAAACTGGACCTGTCCATAAAGTATCAGGGCCTTTCCTTCTCTATGTGGTCTCTCCAGGCAAGTAGCTGAATTTCTCATAAGGTAACTCAAGGCTCCCAAGAATACAAAAGGCTGAGGCTTGGCACGGGCGCAGAATCACTCCTGCCACATTCTATTGCCTAGAATGCATCACAGACCCAGCCTGGTTCTTTGTGGGAGGACTACACGAGGACCTAATGTCAGGAGGCATTGATCATTGGGGGTCATTTTTGCACACTAGCTACCACAGGTGATCCTCAGACACCAAGCCCTTAATCTTCCTATGACTTCATGCCACAATGAGCACCTACAAACCGAACATGATTGGATACTCTGCTTTAGGAAGATCATCCCTGGCAATAGAGAGGAAGGTGGCTTAGAGAAAGGGAAACCAAAAGTTTTGCAGAAGTCCACTTTGGTGGTGAAGAACTGAACCTCCGTAAGAATGGACCCAGCCCAACGGGAAGGAAGGTATGGTCTCTAATTAATCACACACTGCAGAAATGCCCACTGCGGTCAGGATCATAAAGTATCGGGGAGATAGCTTAGTACAAGAGGTGGAGGCGAAGAAGCCAAAAGAAGATTTTTAGTGTTTACCCCACGTCCCATCTAATCAGGAGTGTTTGTATCTCACCAGTGGAAGTGCGGTTTTCTTCCATCATTTCTGAGTTAGCGTACTGTTCCGGTACAGCTCCTATATAACCAGAGGACTCAACTCTCTCCCACGCATGACTGCTATCTTCCAGCTCAGTGACTCTCCGCCTTCTGGTATTTAATCCACAGAAATGTATGTTTATGTAACATATATATATATATATACTCTTAAATTTGTATGTGTACATGTGTATCTTTCATATGTATGTTTAGCTAAAGCAGAAAGTTTTACAGATCAATACTGTATGTGACATACTCTTATTTCCTATTCTCTTTCATCCTATTTTTTTTAATGCTGGCAAAGAATGTCTAAATTAATTCTGCAATCCGTTAATGGATTCTGACTTCTCCTTTGAAAACTTCCACTCTTATAGATAAGCACCTGTAACCCCAGGAATATTTAGCATTAAGCACAGAATAATGAAAGAAATCAGTCATAGCATTAATACTTCCCATTACATTTTGGAATCATCTGAAGTTGGTATTTATAATTTAAGAGAATTTAACATACTGATGTAACATTAATTTTGCAATTCCACTTCAAAGTGTCAGAGAGTAATTGATTCAGACCCATGACCTTATGTAAATATATGTAACAGAATTTAATCACATTTTAAGCAATATTGAGATTATGAGATTTTAAGATTCACCATATTAAGTTCTAAGAGTGAGCTCATGGGGCTCCTGGGTGGCTCAAGTCGTTAAGCGTCTGCCTTCAGCTCAGGTCATGATCCCAGGATCCTGGGATGGAGCCCCACATTGGGCTCCCTGCTCTGCGGGAAGCCTGCTTCTCCCTCTCCCACTCCCCCTGCTTGTGTTCCCTCTCTTGCTCTGTTTGTCTCTGTCAAATAAATAAAATCTTAAAAAAAAAAAAGTGAGCTCACTACTTGGATTTTGTTTACCAAATAACTGAACTGCTTAAGAAGAAAATATGTTAAATGTATAAATGCACTTTAGTTATGAGAATATACAGAATAAAAATCCCCTTAAAATGATTTTATAAGGGGCGCCTGGACGGCTCAGTCGTTTAAGCCTCTGCCTTCAGCTCAGGGTGCTGGGATCGAGCCTCGCCATGGGCTGCCTGCTCAGCAAGGAGTCGGCTTCTCCCTCTGCCTTTCCCCCTGGCTTGTGCGCGCGCGCTCTCTCTCAAATAAATAAAATCTTTAAAAAAATTTTTTTTAATTGCCAGTACATATACCACTGTAGGATATACAAGTTTGGGGTTTATAATTCTAATATTAATTATTAAAGCAAAGGTAATTTCAAAACAATCGCCAGGATGCCCGAAACCCACCCTCGAGGACATGGAAAAGGAGCTCCAGTTCCCTTGGAGCTAACCGGGGGTTCCACGGGGCGAGCAAACACGTGGCCCTTCCAAAGGAACTGGTTCTTCTTGTAGAGGAACCAGAAACCGACTTAGGAAGAAGTGAGATCGTCATTCTTCTCTACTTTATCGCCTATAATAAACATTTAAAAAAATAAAATAAAATACAACCGAAAAGCGCGAAGCGGGCCACGAGAAGACGTTTCCTCGGGGTCTGGGCCAACGCGTCCCAGGGCCCGCTTCGGTCCGAGGGAGCAGGGTGGTCCCCGAGTGGGAAGCGGGGACGAAGAGGTCCCGGGGGGCGTGGGGCGCAGGGAGCGGTCCCAGGCCCCAGGTCACCCACGCCGCGGAAAGCGGGCTCGGCAAGCTTCTGTCCGGGAAGGGTCGCCGCGACCCGCGCGGGGCCTCTCCCGCCGGCGCTTGCCGAGCTCTGCCTTCCGGAATTCCTATAATGAAGACCTAAGGGGTTGGAACATTATCCGGAAAAGCGCCTCCCCGACCCGCTTGCGGCCCGCAGGGCCGGGCACCATCCCGGGCGTCCCCGGCAACCACGCCGGCCGGCGCCACAGCGGAAGCGGGGAGGCCGCCCGCGCGCCCGCGCTCCCCCTCCCGCGCTCCGGGCGATACCACCGCGGCGGACCCCTCCGGAGGCCCGCAAAGGTATCGTCCCCAGCCTCTGATTGGCCGGCGGCGCGGGGGGCGTGGACTCCGGAGCCTGGTTCGGCGCGCCAGAGGCCGCTCGCCGCATTGCGAGCCGGGCCAGGAGCGGGCGCCATGGTGAGGAGTGGTTGCGGGTGGGATGGAGGCCGAGGTTTGGGCCCGAGTGCGGGCGGAAGCCCGGGCCGGGGTTGGAGCCGGGGCCAGAGCCTGCCGTGGGAGCCGGGGCGGGCGAACGCGGGGACGGCGCTGATGCTCGCGCCCCGGCTCTCTTCCAGGTGCTGCTGCACGTGCTGTTCGAGCACGCGGTCGGCTACGCGCTGCTGGCGCTGAAGGAGGTGGAGGAGATCAGCTTGCTGCTGCCGCAGGTGGGTGAAGGCGGCGGTGGGCTGGCCGGCCGCGCCGCAGCCCCTCGGGCCCCAGGGCCCCAGCATGCACCGCGCGCTCCCACGTGGCCGGCCGCGCACTGGGGGGTGCGCTGGGCCCGAAAGCTCTAGGGCCGGGCCGGGGGGGGGGGGTCCTCACCCGCGTTCGTGACTAGAGTCGCGTTAGGAGCATTTAGAAGTAAGCCCCCCGGACTCCTCCCCGTACGATGAAGCCGACCGGGATTTAGGGCCTATCTCTAAAGGGCTCATTTACGCAGCGTGCGGTCGGTTCTCACCTGCGACCAGGGCTGGGAACCGCTGCTTTACTGCGCCCTAGAGGCAAGAGCGAGGGAAGAAAACCACTCGTGCTCTGTTCTCCCCCAAGGTAGAGGAGTGCGTGCTCAACCTGGGCAAGTTCCACAACATCGTTCGTCTCGTGGCCTTTTGTCCTTTTGCCTCGTCCCAGGTTGCCTTGGAAAATGCCAACGCTGTGTCCGAAGGTGAGTCGGCCACAACCGAGTATTTTAGGGAGATGAACGGAGGTTTAGTTGTTGTTGATCTTATCCTCATGGGGGGTTTGTGATAGCACTTTCCTTTCCCTGGCTAATTTGTTGTAAGTCAGGTACGTGTTGAGCAGTATTTGGTGTGTACAGGATGTGGTTTAAAACAGAGCCCAAGGTCTGGGGAATATGGTATTATACTAAATGTTTAAAGTGCACAATCCAGGACCCAGGCTTTGTGGGTGGTAGATGATTCTTAAGTGAAATCTGGTAGGTGGTTCTTTGGTCATTGTTGAAGTGATTGGAAAAGGCAATGTTGGTACGGAAGAGCCAAGGAAAAAGGTTTGGCCCCAGGACATGTAAGTCAGATACTAAATACGTGTCTCCACAGTGCCCCTCGGTATGGTTTAAGGTTTCAATTTTGTACTTCACACACGTGCTGTTGGACCAGAGTCCTGTTCCTTCCACGGTTGATGCAGGCTTTGCAGTGATGACTTAAGTCTGTCAATCCCCTGAGTGCAGTCACTGATGTCTCCATGTCTCTGAGCAAAGCCTAAAGCAAGGAAGGATGTAGGCATGCCATCTCAGCATGCCCCGTGGGACCAGTGTGGGGTCAGTTTGTCACGGAATCAGCGGTTAAGGGGACAGATCCCTTTTATGATTTAAGCATTCTTCAGCGTGTTAGTGGGAGCTCTGTTCTTTGCCTTGAGGTGTTGTTCATGAGGACCTCCGTCTGCTCTTGGAGACTCACCTGCCATCCAAAAAGAAGAAAGTACTCCTGGGGGTTGGAGACCCCAAGATCGGTGCTGCTATACAAGAGGAGTTAGGGTACAACTGCCAGACTGGAGGCGTGATAGCTGAGATCCTGCGAGGTGGGAGCATCCGTTAACATTCTTGACATCTTTGAGAGGGGATCTGGAAATTTAATCAGGGTGCCTAAGGTCGCTTCTGGGAAGCCCTTCTGCTTGGCTGGCACCCATGGGTGCCGGAGCTGGCCTAGAGCCTTCTCTTGCTCACTGTCTTGCCCTCCTCCAGGGGTTCGTCTGCACTTCCACAACCTGGTGAAGGGTCTGACGGATCTGTCTGCTTGTAAAGCCCAGTTGGGGCTGGGACACAGCTATTCTCGGGCCAAAGTTAAGTTCAATGTGAACCGGGTGGACAACATGATTATCCAGTCCATCAGCCTCCTGGACCAGCTGGATAAGGACATCAATACTTTCTCCATGCGTGTCAGGTGAAGTGGCCCAGCGACCCTGGAGAACGGGGTCTTTGGCCTGTGGTTTAGCGAATTTTGAATGCTGAAATCAGGACTAGCTCCTGTGGGTAGAACAATGTGGGGTGGGGCCGAGCCTCCCGGTGCTTACCACAGGCTGTGTTCTTACACTGACTGTACAGAAAGAGGAGGTAGAGTAAACCCACCCATATACACCCCAGCCCGGGCTCTTTGCCGGGTCTGTATTGTGAATGGGGGGACATGGAGTTGGGGTTTTGAATTGGACTTGGTCCCTTTTCTCTGGGCAAAGAATAGATACGGAGAGGGCTGAGGCTGTAGCTTCGAGACCTAGCCGCTGGGCAGGGAGTGATTGTGGCTCTTTGCAGGGAGTGGTATGGGTATCACTTTCCTGAGCTCGTGAAGATCATCAACGACAATGCTACATACTGCCGCCTTGCTCAGTTCATTGGAAACCGAAGGGAGCTGAATGAAGAAAAGCTGGAGAAGCTGGAAGAGCTGACGATGGATGGGGCCAAGGCTAAGGCTATTCTGGACGCCTCGCGATCCTCCATGGGTCAGTACAGCCTAGTGGCCAAGATAAGTTTGGGGCTGTGACTGTCTGGTCCTGCATTCACACTGCGTGTCCCCAGGCATGGACATATCGGCCATCGACCTGATAAACATCGAGAGCTTCTCCAGCCGTGTGGTGTCTTTGTCAGAGTACCGCCAGAGCCTGCACACTTACCTGCGGTCCAAGATGAGCCAAGTAGCCCCCAGCCTCTCGGCCCTAATTGGGGAAGCGGTGCGTCATGGGGAACACAAAACGGGGCTAAGGAATGTTACAACATAGGTCCATACTGCTATACTTCCTGACCTACTGTTCTCTAACCCCAGGTGTACTTGATGGGGTGAAGCAGAATTGTGCAGTTGGTAGATTGGCAATTGCAGCTTCTCTAATTCCTTGAATCCTTTTCCAGGTAGGTGCACGTCTCATTGCTCATGCTGGCAGCCTCACCAACCTGGCCAAGTATCCAGCGTCCACAGTGCAGATCCTTGGGGCTGAAAAGGCCCTGTTCAGGTACCAGTGAGGGCACCTGCCCACACTCAGGTGCCACATCTGGTGCCCACTGCTTGTTTGGGGATCACAGTGATGGCTGACCAGGGCTCCCTGACCCATACAGACCTCTGCTATGGGGGTGATGGCCAGTCCTGGTGTCTGAGTGATTCCCAGGGCCCAGCAAAGGGACCAGATTTCCAGGTCAGCGACATTGGATGCCTTCCCTCTGCCTCTGGGAGCTGTGGGTTGGCATGAGGTGGGGTCAGCAGCCTGAGGCTCACCCTGGACACTGAGGGTACAGGGGAGGGGAGGAGCTGCCTTGGCTAGTAGGGTTGAAATTTCTGATCTTAAAACTCCCCACTGAATATTCTTCTCCCAGAGCCCTGAAGACAAGGGGTAACACCCCAAAATATGGACTCATTTTCCACTCCACCTTCATTGGCCGAGCAGCTGCCAAGAACAAAGGCCGCATCTCCCGATACCTGGCAAACAAATGCAGTATTGCCTCACGAATTGATTGCTTCTCTGGTATGGGTGGGAGGGGGGCTTGGAGGAGAAGGGGCTGGGGGGGAGGGAAGGCTGACTACCTAGCAGCTTCCACAATGATGGCAGTATTTTTCGTCAACAGCAGTTCACCTAGTGAGTGTTGATACTTTGGGTCTGAGTGAAGCTGAGGGTAGAGGGAAAATGGGCTGGGGAGTAGCTAGCCCTGAAGGGGCTGACAGGCTTTGTTTATCCACACATACACACACACATCTAGAGGTGCCCACAAGTGTATTTGGGGAGAAGCTTCGAGAGCAAGTTGAGGAGCGGCTGTCCTTCTATGAGACCGGAGAGATTCCACGAAAGAATCTGGATGTCATGAAGGAAGCAATGGTTCAGGTCAGTTGGGGCTTTGCTGGGTTGGGGGAGGACCAGAGCTGGCTGTTGGAGGTGATGAACTGGCTTAGCCTGACCCTGTTAGAATGGAGGCGAAAAACTGATTTAATGAGCCTGATCCGATGAAGCCAGAAGGGAGGCCTGGACAGCCTTAAGTCTTCAGGGCCTCTTGAGCACCTTTCTTTGGCCAGGCAGAGGAAGCGGCTGCTGAGATGGCTAGGAAGCTGGAGAAGCAGGAGAAGAAACGCTTAAAGAAGGAGAAGAAACGGCTGGCCGCCCTGGCCCTCGCATCTTCAGAAAACAGCAGTAGTACCCCGGAGGAGTGTGAGGTCAGTAGGCAGGCCAGCCCTTAGCCCAGGGTGGAGACCCTGGATGTAGGACTCTCAACAGCAGAACAAAGGATGTGCTACCTGAAGCCATGGTCTTGAGTCCAGGCTTTTGGACTGAAATAAGGACCTGAAACATCTCAACTACCTCTTGATTCTATAGGAAGGAGATAGGTGCTGAGAGAACTGGCTCAGGAGCTCACAGAGCTGGTTGTAGCACACCGGGTCCCTGGGCAAGTGTTCTGTCCTCGGCTGCCTCCCAGGAGTCCTCAACCGGGGGTAGTGTAAATCCCTGCTCTGCGCGTTCTCAGCCGTGTGTCCGGAGGCGGTGGCATTTCCTAGTGGGGCTTGGGGCAGGGAGGTCTCCATGCTGCCACCTCAGGGGTACCCCCCACCCTGGGATTTTCATGGAGTGCCCAGTTTGTCAAGTAGTTTCTCAGGGTCCCCTTTGCAACATGGCATGATGGTTCTATTGTGGGGTATTCTATAAGCTATTTCATGGGCTTAGATAACACATTTCTC